TGTAGAGAGCAAAGTCTTTGATGCCCTTCCTTGACAGATATTTTATCTTTCATTTGGCTGCTTGCTCTCCTCATCATTGCACAGTTTGTAATACAGCTGTCATGGTCTGCTGCTATGATAGATGGCAGCAGTACTGTGCCTCTGTACTTAGATAACCACTTGAGACTGTGGATAGGAAGGAGGCAAGAGGTGTCTTGTGCCTGCCCTGTGTATGTTTGCAGCAGGGTCCTGACCTTGCTGGGACTGGCTGGATGAGCAGGACCAGGAAGGAGGAACTTGAAGTGGTGGCTGCTGGAACTAGAGCTGACGGGTATTGAACAGTGTATAGGGGAAGGCTGTGAAGAACACTGGTGCTGTGGGCCCTGCAGTTTCCACTCCTGAATGAAGCCCTAATTGTAGTGTCTGTACTTTTTAAGGCCTTGCCTTTGGTGATCACAGCAACGGTAGGTGTAAAGGAAGCCCAGAATGAGTATATAAGAGCAATTGTGGTCTCTGCGCATGTGTGAGGCATTTTACAAACTTAAGATTAAATAAAAAGAGGGGTTGGCCAGCTTTGTTTTCCTGGACGCATATTTATTGTTTAAAAGTTAAGCCTATGAATTTCCTTGTTTTCATCAAAGGGAAGAAACCGGGTAGAAATTGGTGGATTACAATCAATATTGATACCTTTGCAGTTGAAAAACACCTTTTGGAGAGAAATCCAGCAGCTAACCTGTTTTTAGAAACTTGGAGAATTCAGATATACTAACTGGTGTTGAAACAACTAAAGAGTGGGTTTCTCCAGAATGGGCAGCCCTGGATCTCATTTGCTCCTTGCTGGATTGTTTTGTCAGATCTGAAATGTGCCTGTGGTTCTCTGGTTGTTTGCCTGCCTTAATATGCAGAGGTATTACATTTCCCCTCCTCCATTATTCTGCCAAGGAAATGCTAACAAATCCTTCTCTTTTGCAGGACTTTTTTGGCTGTCCATGGTACCCAAACTACTGCCCTGGTATATGTATTCTTGTGATATTCTGGATTTACTACCAGTGTCACACAGGAGGAACAGTGGCTGAGGGAAATCAAGTTACATGCTTAGATTCAGACAATGTTCCGAGTTGGAAGAGATCCACAATGGTCATCAAAGTCCAACTCCTGACCCTGCACAGGACAACCTCAGTCAGATAAGCAGCCTATTTAACTACTGAATCTCCAAGCAATTTCTGTTTGTCAGCCATGTGATCATTTTCTAATATTTAGGCTTGATGGGGGAAAAACTGGTGCCTTACAGGAAACCTTCAAAGATAGCTGACCACTCTGATGTATTATGAAAAATGGCTTTTTAGCAGAAATCTTTGCTTATGAGAGTAAATGAGTTTTCTTCCGGAAGAGATATCTTAGTAGGATTTAAAAAAATTAAATTTATATTCTCTTCATGCTGAGAGAAATAATCATTGATTAGTGAAATAGTCATTGGTGTCAGTTCCTGAGAAAACTACCTCCCAAAAGCCAAGCTATGAGGCTGGCTACTTGCTATCAAATCCCTTTGCTTCGGTAAACTGGTATCTTATTTTCTGTCTTCCTCTAAGTCTCTTGAAGTGTCTCTATATCCACAGCAAATAGTTGGATTTATTATGATTATTATTTATCCTGGACCCTCCAGCATGGATCTGAGTGTGTTTGAAGGGCTGGGACTAGTGAAGGGCTTTGGCTGGAACAGGTCACTGAGACCATGTAATTCTTACCAAGGGATGATAAATGGGGTTATACATCTCTAAGGGTGATGTCTGATGGGGTTGCAAATCTACAGAGGCACTTGACTTTAATGCCACTTGCTGAGTAACTTTTCTTTGAGTTCTGCAAAACAGCTCCAACTTTCCATCTGACACTGAAAATTTAATCATTGTGCTAAAGAAACATGCTGTGTTAATGTATCTCACTAGAGGTGAATTGATGGTAGTTGCTTTTCTACTTAAAATAGCCTCTGCACACAGATGTGCACCTAGGAAGCTGTAGCATCACTTTGGGGAGTACATGTGACATTTTGTCTTTGCAAGAATGATGATCATAAATGAAACTGGAGCTGCACTTCACTTCTCCACATTGGTTGGATACCTGCTAATAACTCCCATGATTGCTAATGTTTCTCAGGGTTAAAAATGGCTATGGAGCCTATCAGAAGCTGTAAAAGCAAAGGGAATCTGCCTTACTGGAAGGTAAGATCTGAATCTCTCCAACTCCACAGCGGCTCTGATCCATCTCAACTTACTGGCCCTAGCCCAAGAAGCAGTTTGTTCTTTTCTGCATAACACAGTATTGTCAGGTTGCCCAGACCAGCAAGATGTAACTTTTCACTTAAAAAAAAATGCAAGCCTCCTCAGCAGCTGAAGTTAGTATGTGTCTCCTTAAACTGATAGAGAGCATCTTTGAGCTGGAGAGTGGCCTGTGATGAAGGCACATGGGGTAATTCTTGGGTGGTTCCTGTGCAGGGCTAAGAGTTGGACTTGATGCTGCTTGTAGGTCCCTTCCAACTCAGAATATTCTGTTAAGAAATATTACTTCTGTATAGCTTGCACTGCTGTCTGCTTCAAACATTTATTTTTAGCAAAATTTTATTGGCTTGATGTGTAGGAAAAATAAAGACAACACATTAGTAAAATAATTGCCATACCAGTGCAGCCTGTTGCTCCAAAGAAAGGTTTTCTGATTGAAGGTCCAGTGCTGTCTCTCAAGGATGTACAGATGTTTCCCCTTCATTAGATTGGTACACACATAAGGGACATGTTAAAAGAGCCACTATTACTGCAAATTACTGTGTCCAGACACCAGCAGTTGCAAAATTCACCTTGCTGCTATCTATTGCCCTAGCATTGCTGGCCGTTCACTTGACAAAAGCAAGTTGCTTGTTCCCTCCCCTGGCCTGTTGACTTTAAAGAACTTGCTTTAACTACTCAGTGCCTTGCTTGTCTTAGAGGCCCCCAGATTAAAAAAAAAATTCACTTTTTGATGTTCAGAGCTAGAAACCTCTTTACTTTCTTAGTCTATGTGAGGTAAAAATAAGAAAGAATGAAAAATAAGTAAAGGGTGAAAATCTGTCTCATGGCAGGTTGCTGCTGTCAGATCTTTGCATTGTTGGTGCAGTACAATGGCAGGAGCACTGGATCATTACATGGGAGCTCTGTGGCTTTTCACTAGACATTTACACGGTTAAGTGAGGCTGTAGAGCCCAGAATCATTTTTACCCTTTGTGCAACATAATTTGAGGGAAAATTTTCCTTCTCCTGGTTATGAGTAGTATTTCCTTCTTGGTGCTGTGTACAGAAGGGCATCTATGGCATTAATGCTTCTGTTCCGCAATGCAGTATTGTATTCAAGAGTTAGAGCTCAGGTGAGATGGAGGCAGTATCTGCTTCTCTCTTCTCCACTTTCTGCCTTAATGTCACTCTGAAATGGGACATGTCCTGCTGCTCTGGGCATGTCCTGTCTGGGACCAAAAGGTTGGTCAAAGCCAGGGTGAGAAGAAGTAACAAATCATGGTGTTTGCTGGCTCTCTCATCTATTGATCAACTGTGACTTTTATCAGGGATCTGCATCTCTAATTTCTCTAATACTGAATGCAGCCTGTGAGCCTGAGGCAGGCTGTCTGCATCTCCTGTCTTTAAGATGCTCTGCAAGTGCCTCTGACTGTACAGAGCTAAGTGAGCCCTGTCCTGTGGTTTGACCTGGCCTACAGCACATCCCAGGTTTCTGATCGGGGATGGGGAAGGACCATGTGTCTGCACTGTGTTTCTTCTGAACAACTGCATTGGGAAGGGCTGGCATCCAACAATTACAGCATCAGAATCTATTCACGTGGGATGGCACAGGTTAAATCAGGAGCAGATACCTCAGCATATATGCATACATGCCATAAAGCATGTACATGTCTGTATTGGTTATGGGATATCCCAAAACCACAGATGGTTTAGCAGCTGGGATTCTTCCCTGAATTCTAATCCTGGAGGGGAGGCAGGATGCAGTAAAGAACAATATGAGGATAAATTGCTTTCCTGTGGGCATTGCAAAAGACAGGTTCTTTTGGAGAACTGTGTATCTGTAGAGGGAGAAGGAGTTTCAAGGGAGAAACAAGGACATAGTACTCCCACAGCAACCTTTTTAATCAGGTTCCCTAAGCAGGAGATGAACATGGACCTGAGCTGTGTGACGTATTCCTATGTGTCTGTGTTGGGGCCAAAAAGGAGCTGGTACCTAAGAGGCAGGGCAGAGCTGTTCTTGCCACCTCTCCAAGATGCAGCAAAGCATGAAGGCAGGCAGAATTTTATGCTCTAACTTTGATTAGCAATGGCCCTTTAAGGCAGAGCAAGGCATGCAGTGTGGACACTGCCCAGTCCAAACCCAGCAGCCACGTGAACTCTCCCCAGGTGGGCAGTGCCAGGCTGGCACAGCAAGGCCCCCTCACCCTCCCCAATGACAGAGGGAGTCTGATTGAATTTGCTGGCTCCCACTCACTCTGCCCCAATTTTCCTCAGGACAAATGAGAAGAACCTGTCTCCAAGTGTAAGATTTTGGGAATATGTGTCAGAGATGCCTGTCAGTAAAACATCCGTCTTGCCCTAATTTCTGCATGGAGTGCTGCAATGTCGAGTGAAATAACCTTCCAAGCTGGCTCTGGTGCAGAGGTATTTTGGCTTATGTTATTGCTGAGAGCTTGCTTTCTGATGAGCTCTTTCTGCCTCTCTGTGTTTCTGATGTCTGACTCTCTTCACTCTTCTTTTTCCCTTGGGCTGGGATGCGTGCTGTTTGCAATGCATCAGGAAGTAATACGCAATGAGAAAACTCTCATCATCTGTGCATCAGGGAGAGAATTACTGACTGAGTGCTGAGCAGTCAAGTTATTGATTCAAACCAAAGCCCAGTCTCTCTGTCTGCTGGGCTGGTTACATCCTGCTGGTTCATTGCATTTAATCGGATTCCCTGAGCTGCCACGCAGAGGGGGTGAGTTAGAACCAGATCCATCTATAATGTTTGCTTCAAAATCCAGTTCTGTCTCCCCTTCTCCGTCCATGGAACAGGCAGATTCAGATGCTCTGGACATCAGCACCAAAGTGCAGCTGTACGGTGTGCTCTGGAAGAGACCCTTTGGGAGGCAGTCAGCCAAATGGTCCAGGAGGTAAGCCACAGTTGCTGAGGGATGCTCGGGTGAAACACAAAGCCTAAGGGTCTGGGATAAGTTTAGAGACTGAGTGCTTGACTCTTCAAGTGCAGCCAGCCAGGCAGAGGCTCAGGGTAAAACTTGGGGCATAGCTTCCCTGCTGCTGAGTCTGCTTCACACATGTGGCACCCCATTGTGCTCTCTTCTTTATCTGTCCAGACCTTGTTCTATGTGCACTACAGGGCGGTAATAGAGACTAGCTGCCTCCTCTGAATAATTGTGATAGTTTCATGAAAGGGGAAGAGTCTGTTCATGTATTTTGCCCCTAAACTGCTTGACTTTTTTGTTTTGGCACTCAAAGCTCTTTGAGTCCTTCGGGTGTGAGATGGCAGGGCTGAGCTGACTGCGTGGGGGTCTGTAGTGTGTGTGTGTGGTCTGCAGGGGTCTGTGCACAGCTCCAGTACTGCTGTGCTGCCTGACAGCGACTGCGTGCTGGGAACAGCACATGCAGACTCTTCCCAGGGGAGAAGGTGGCTCTGAGTTCTCTCCCATCTGGTGTTAGGGAGTTGCAAGCTGCTGTATGTTGTCTATCAGCAGCCAGGAAGTTGGAGCTGGAAAGCATTTGCTATAACCTTTAACCAAGGACAGAAGTATGTTCTATAATACTGAAGTGGTGGGTTGGTTTTAAGTTTAGAGTTGCTGTAGTTTCTTTATGCAAATCACTGAATCTCTGGCACTTACCTTTCGTGGGTAAGTACCTTTGCTGCAGTCTGCAGTGTAGATACAAACAATCCATTTCTAAAGCCAGCTTTCCCAGCTTTGCTTTCTGTAGTAACCATAGTGCTGCCCAATCTGTGAAGATGGCAAGCCTGAAAAAAACATTACTTGGGAAGCATTTTGTGTTTGTAGCAGTTTTTGACCCGCGTGTGTGTTTTATTCCCTCCCATGCCAAGAACAGCCTATTTTCACCCAGAAAAGAATTTGTGCTGATGCTCCCTACTCAGCTCCCAAATATTGATAAATAAATGAATTATGCCTGGAAACTACTGTGATTGTGTTACGGAAAAGAAATGGACAGAATAACAGAGGGGAAGGTAATTTGCCATGGATGAGACATTCTTAAAAGGCTCTCCCTAATAAAAATTTCTTGCAGGCAAATGACCCATCTCTGTTCCCTCGGTCATTATTTATTTAGTGCTGTTCTATTCCTAGAAATCACCCCATCTTCAGCAAGTGGTAAATGTTTTAGTGATAGCAGCTGGGAGCAGAAGGGGAGGTGATGTGGGGCAGGGGTGATGTGGAAGGTTAGTTGCAAGCACAGCAGCTGAGGGTCCTGGGTGACCAGACACAGGTCAGTTAGAGTTGAACATGGAATCTGTAGGGTTTGGAAGGAAGTGAGTTCTGGGGTAAAAAGACTTGAACAGGAGGAGAAATGTGTTGTTAGTTAGTTTGTTTTATCGTGGGAGAGACTTGCTTTAAAGTAAAACAAACTTGCATGATATTATAACAAATCATTAGGGGGAGATAAGGAGTAATTCATTCATTTCCTCCTCTTTTTCCCCATGCCCACCAGCACATAGCTGGTCAAGTACATTTTTTTATGAAAAGGAGAAGAGATGTTTCCCACTCCAGTTAAATAAAGAAAAAAGATTGACTATATCTGGATGTCATTGAGGACCTGGTCTCTGATAAATGTATGTTTTGTCCTGAAATCTGGAACAACTGTACTACTCCCACTCCCAAGGAAAGCCTTTCCAAGATATGGGAGAGAGCCTGTCTTTAAGAGGAGGGTTGATCTCATCAGGCTATCAGCCATGAAGATGGGTCTATGTGGGAGGTACATGATATTTACTGGCTTGATCCCATTCATTTGGCTGTAGCAGCAATACTTCTGGAGCAACTGAGAAGAAAAGCAACTGTTCCAGGGAAGGATGGAATCTGACTAGATAGCAGATGAAGGAAAAAGTGTCCAGGCACGGTGTCCAGTACTTTGGTGATGGAAATCCCAGGTTTTGGAATTTCACAGCATTACAGGTAATGCAGGGAGGAGGAAGGGATAGCAGAGCCTTGTTTTAGTCAGGGCCAAATCTGATGGCACCTGTGGAGACAACTGAACTTGACCTGGGGCAGCTGTGTGGAGCATTTTCAGTCCTTTCTTTTGCCCATGCAAGGGTCTGCTCTGAAGCCCAAATATAATATTTGTACCTGCTGCCTCAGGTACTGTCCAAGAGTGGGCTGGATGCTTCTCAACCAGTGTAGCTGTGTTTATCTGCCAGGGCTGACATCTGAGCATGCTGCCTTTCAGAGCTTGATTTTTGAAATGCCATTAGCAGCATCCTAATGCCTATCTCTTAAAGAAAGGGAGCTCTATTCCTAACGTGGATTTTCTTTTCTTGTAAAGTAATATCTATCCAACAGAGAAGCACCTGTCTTCTGAGTTTAGTGGTGCTTTTGAGCAGTCTAAGCTTGGGTCACTGCTGCAGTGGCTTTGGAAAATCATATTCTCAGTCATTGACTAACAGTCCTCCTCTTCTGAACAACTTCTTCCTCCCAATGCCTAACAAGCAATTTAGCCTCTCCTGCTACAAAAGTTTTACTGGTAATGGCATGAGCCTGGCACAGAGGCTGGAGTGAAATGCATCATGTGTGTACCCACCCTGGATATGGCATGAATAGGGTGCTGTAGCTTTCCAGGATTGAAGTGGCATACCCTTCTTTACCATGAATAATCCCAGTCCCATATAGAAATGTCAGGCTCTAAACTGTCACCATCCATGTCTGAGACTTTGGGGTTCAATGGGACAGTGCCGGGAAGGGCCATGTCTTTGGTGGACAACTGAACATCAGAAAAGCAAGGTGAAGCACAAGAGGAGAGAGAACAAAACACAAAATATGCCTGTATGTCTCCATAAACCTGTCAGAGATGACAGGTTAGAAGGAGAGAAACACAGCACAGTTAAGAGAGAATTTTTCTATCTTTTGAACCAGTCCTGTCTGTGGCATTGCAAAGCAGGCACATAACCTTGTTTTCCACAGTGGCTGCTTACAGTCAGTGCGTGTGGTCACAGGACAGATGGAAAAGAGAATTGTTTATGGCTGCTTTCTGCTCAGGACCCCCGGGAATCACACAGCTGCAGAGCAGCATGCATATGCAGCACAGAGCAGCAGGGGCTGCGAGAGCGTGGGCTTCTCTCTGCTCCTTGTGATCCCCCCATTTGCTGCTTGCGGTCAGGGAGCCTCCTGAGCCCCTCCCCGCTCCCTGCAGGCTGGGCGTGCTCCGGCTGCCAGGGCAGGGGAGCCTGGAGCTGTCAGGGGAGGAAGGGCGAGGGGCAGGTACTGCGAGCTCTGATCTTCATCATGATAAAGATCATTTGCCCATCAGTTTCCTGAGCTGTCCCTGGGGATGGAGTACTGGGCTGATCTAGTAAATGGGATTTGCCCCCTGTGCTCCTGGCCCAGAGAAATAAAGGACCAGGGAGACTGCTGCAGTTTTATAGTGTAACTACTTCATCTGGGCCATTGTCATGTCAAAAACTTGTACAAAGAGTAGCTAATGAATTTCATTAGCCCTCTGTAATACAAAAAGCACTTATTCCACAGAGATCGGGTGTCTCAATTTGTCCAGTACAGAGCTGTTGTTTCTGCTTTTCATCCAAGTCACTCAAATTGTTACCATTCCTCTGCTATTCTGGTTTAATTATACTGTGGTTTCAGTGGTTCCTCAGAGCAGGATCCAGCAGCAGGGATGGGTGACCAGAGCAGCTGACCACATGAATGGCTCTTGCATTACCTGTGCTGCCTGTAGAGTGTGGCTGTGCCAGCCTGCCTCATCTCTCACACTTTTGCTGGTTCTCTCCAAGGTTTTGAGCTCTGCTCTGTTTTTAAATTGCTTATTTTGGGTTCTTGTTTGTATTCAAAAACTTTCCCTGCCTTTACAGCACTCCCTTTTCTCCTGCTGCTACATCTGTGCCTGATTCAGACACATGTTCAGTGTCTCCAGTCCTCCAATCACAGTCCTAACTGGGTGTCTCTCCCCATTCTCCCTTGACCATCTTTTGCTTTCTGCTCTTACTCACCTGGCCGCTGCTTTAGTCTTCAACCTGCTCTTGAGTCTTGTAACTCTCTCCTCTTTTATTTTACTTCATCCCTCTTCTCACCATGCTGTATCAACTACCCCTGGATTGTTGCATGGAGACTTTGTCCTGAAGGTCATTTAAAGTAATGGTCTTGGTTGCTCTAGTGTTGCTTTCCAGGTAAAGGTAGATGAGGGAATATGATCTGAGCATAAATACATTATGTGCACAAGCTAACCAGATTTTCAATGTTTTTCCTTCATTACTTGCAGTGAGATTTTGTTCTTCTTATTTTCTAAACTCTTATTTAGTGTATTTTCATTCCAAATCCCCATATTTTCTCCCCACATCTGTGAAATCAGGGATCTAAAAGTTTATTTATCTGTGAGAGACATATAATTTTTCAGAAGTTGGTGCTATGTTTTGTTCTTATTTTTGCTTTGATTTTGGTTTCCATAGAAGCATAATCTATAATATGAGGATTATCAGCACTGAACAATAAAAAGTATGTAACAAACTAAACTCTGGCTTTAACTGTGGGATAACATTTAGATTAAAAAAAAATCACACAGAGTTAAAGATCAATATCTTTACCTGTCTGGCAAATGTTTTTTTATATTAGTCATACTGAAAAGAGTGTTGAAAGTGATGATTTAACTTTCTCTATTTCATGTGGTGTGTTGACTTTTGGCATCTCTAGATTCATATTTGTGCCCACAGTATCTGGTTCCCTATGACTCACTGGACCAAGCACAGGCCATTGGGCAGGCAGGTTTGTTCTTTTAAGAAGTTATTTCTGTATTTATTGTGCAGATAAGGCAACATTTCTCTCTAAAAAATGAAGTCCTCCTTGAACTAAGCATAGAGTTGGAGAAAACAGAAAGATGCAGCTACTCAAAGGAAAACTTTCTTATAAAGACCAAAGATGTGTGGAAAAATTAATCAGGAAGGCACAAGGCGGCTGTTCACAGAAGTGATGTGGACAGGAGGAACCAGGAACAAGCCTTGTCTGCTCTCTGGAGGTCTCTGATGTCTGCCTTGGCAAAGTCCCTGCTTCTCCCCACCTCTGATGTCAACATGAACAGGTATAGATGAGAAGGAAGGAGAAGAAAAAAACTGGGGAACAATAACTGCTGCTGGTGTTTGTATGTTCTGAAGATTTATGGATGTAAATATGCACCTGCTCAATGACTGTCACTTTCAAACACTTTGGAGAAGGTACAAAGTGATCCAGAACTTGAGTTTGCTGCAGACTTTGAAAAGTTTAGCTTTGTTCTTTTATTGCCCCAAGAGCCTGTGGTCTCTGTTTCCATGACATTTGGCAATTTCATCTGTGTTCCCAGAGCCATAGCAGAAGAGCAAGAGAAAGAAGCTGATGGAAGCAGTAAAGTTTTCACCGGAGTAAAATAATGATATTAATAATAATTAATAATTATTTCTATATTTTTATTATGATTATTATAATTCTCTGCCAGCATCAACGTCTTGCTTTAGCTTTTGGAACTAAACTGGTACCAGATTGCTGTGCTCATCTGTACTGGAGGCAGGACTTGGCTCCATCTGGCAGCCCATCCACTTCAGGAGAGGCCTAGGGAGGACGGGGGTATAGTAGAGGAAACGTATTTGAATATGTGTATAGAGGTTTTGCCTCAGAGGTCCCGGTTGCCCTTGATGGGCTGCAGCTGTGATGTCCTTAATTGGGCTGCAGCTGTGACCAATGAAGATGACCGGGATAAAAGGGGGTGGGTTAGGCAGTCAGGGAGAGCCTTGGAGGAGCCCTGACCTGAGAGAGAACAGCATGTGGCAGAAGGAGTCAGTGAAGGTCTGCGGCCATGAGAATACACCAAAGAGGTATGGACTTCAGAAGTCTGAGACTATCATTATGGGACTCTAGAGAAATAATAGAACAACAGCATGGGGGCACATGAAGGCATTAGAATTGTCCTTGTGGATCAGCCCCCTTGTCCTCCAGCCCATTACTAAGGGTGGCTCCAAGGGTGCATCAATGCCCAGGCTGCACAAGTGGGCAGCACTGCCTGTAGAGGTCTTCTCTTATTCCCTCCCAGAAACAGGAGGGTTTCTTGGGAATGTTCTTATTATTCACAGAAATGCCTCATCCTTTCCAGTTTCCTCATGATCTCTTGTCCTCAGCACCATATGAAAGTGATTGACACAGCTGTGTTTTGTGGAGTGTAAAAAGGCATTTTTGAATAATTTTCACCTTCTAGCCTTTCACTTTCTTTCCAAATCCCTCTTTCTCATGTCAGAAAATATGTACAAAACAGAACAATACATTTTCTTTGTCATTTGCTCTTTTGAAACCTCCCTATTACACTTGTCCCCATTTTTTTTCAGCTGCTCTTCATAATTTTTGAGTGCTGCAGAGATTTAGACCAAATTGAAACTAAGTCAGGTATCTCTCCCCTGTACCACTGCCTGCAGAATACGTGCAACCTCAATTTTTGAAGAGAGGAGGAACCCTCCCAGGGGCATTTCAAAAATCCAAATAAGTTAAAGGTGGCACTCCTTTAATCATAATTTTGAGGACACACTCCAGTAAGTTAGAGGCTTGGCTTGCAGAAGCTGAGATATTTTGTGGTTACAACACAATGATGACCAGAGTATACCTAAGGCTAAGTGAGCAGAACAAGGCCTATTTTAATGTTACATGTATGAGAAAAAAAATATTCAATTTCCTTTGTAGTTGTGAAGGTCAGTGACAGGAAAGTTTGCCAGGTGCTCTGCTTAAAAATATCTCTCAAATTTATTTCTGCTCCTGAGTGCTTGGTGGCCAATTTTTGCCTCATGAGTCACTTGGGGATGCTAGGCTATGATTCTCTGTTAGACTGGAAACACTTCCCTCTGGCTGTGCTGAGATGGGAGGGAAGAGGGTGGCAGGCAGCATATTGCAAAATAAGCATTTAAGATGGGCTTAGCCCATGCAAGAGACCCTTGAATAAAAGAGCAGCTCTCTCCAGCAGGTTGAATTCAACTCGTGAGCAAGAGAGGGCACACACGTAGAGGTGCCAAAAGTCTGTGGTCCTGTCAGGGGCACAGAGTGCTGTCCCAGTGCCCTGAGAGCCTGTGGCTTGCCCTCAGCTCTGGTGGTGCCTGTTGGGTGCCTGCAAGCACAAAGTACCTCAACTTGGCACTTGCTGTTAAGCACCAGCTCCTGGCTGTGAGCAAAGTGAGGCACCTCACCTTAGTCTTAGGTGGGAGTGGTGAACTCTCGTGCTCAGAAAGCAGCTTTAGTTAGGTGGGGATTTTCTTGTGCTGTTAACCACAACCTCCATTTCACCAGAATGTATTTCCCTTCTTTGTCTTAAAGGTTCTTCATCATTAAGGAAAGCTTCCTGCTGTACTATGCTGAGAGTGAGAAGAAGAGTTTTGAAAGCAATAAATACTTCAATATCCATCCGAAGGTGAGCAGTGTTTGCACAAGGACGGAGTTATTTTCTTTCTAGCATTCCCTCCCCCTTCCTCCATGGGCCCAGCAGGTGATGAAGAGGTAAGTCCCAGTAAGCCCAAGACATCTCACAGGTTCAGGAAAGCCTCAAAAGAGATGCTTTTCAGGTTATTTCATGATTCAGCAGGCATATGACTTTTTTTTTTTACCTGATAGTTGATATATTCCTTTATTTTCATGATCTAATCAACTAATCTTGTGGCTATAAAAATGTTGGCAAAGCCAGTGGTGGGGCTAAGAGCTCCATATGGCTCTTGTTTCCAACCTGTGCTTGCACTTGGCAGCAGCTGATGGCCCACCTGCCCTCAGCACCTGAGAGCCCTCTGTAGCTCTGCTGCCTGGAGCTCCAGGGGACCCTGTGCTCTGAGCTGCTTTTGTCCTCTGTAGTCACTGCAGGCTGATGTAGCATATGAGCTCCTGAAGGTGCTGATTCAACCCATCCTGGTTGTCACAGCCAGCTGCCTGCCTGCCCCACACAGCACTGTGCAGTTTGACTGCTGTCAACGACTGCAATGGATGCACAGCCTCTCTCATGATACCACACTGAATCTGCAACTTTTGCCCCTCTTGGGAGATCACTTCCCCCTTGATGAAACAGTTTCTGCTTCCATGTTCTAGCTAACAGCTTCCCTCCATGCTGAAGGCAGGACTGCCATCCTTACCCCTTCCAGATACTGGCTGAGGGTTTCCTGGTGGTGATGAGAGTCCCTCTGCTTTGCAGGAATTGTGTGTATTGCCCCTCCCAGGGTAGCCAAGGCAGGGCAGGGGCCAACAAAGTGACTGAAAGTTCAGCTCCTGTTAGTTGATAGTTATACTTGATTTTTCTGACTGATTAGAGTGCTCTGGTTTATCTCCAGGGTGTCATACCCCTGGGAGGCTGCATTGTGGAGCCCAAAGAAGAGGCCAACATGCCTTATGCCATAAAGATCTCTCATGAAGACTTCCATGTAAGTAGATTCCTTTTTTTCTAAAAACCTCCAAACACCACAGAACAGGTTAATGCTGATGAGCAGAGCTGGACTGGCAGACTTTTCCCTCCCCACCAAGGTATGCCTACCCTCTCTGGACAGATTATCCTGAGGGCAAAGGTGACTTAGGATCCCAAGTCCCCTCAACACAACCAGCAAGGAAACTTGCACTTTCTGACACCAGGTTTTAGGCTGCTAGCAGAGCAGTGGACAGATTCTCAGGAGCCCCAGAGCCCATGTTGCCCTATCAAGGTTGTTCCTGCTGTGGCTGTTTGCTGTGTGCACACTTCCCAATGTGTGGTAGGCCTAGGTCATATTTGCTCCCATGTGGTGCTTCCTGGGGAGGTGGAAGGCTGTGGTGGGCTCTCCTCCCACTACAGCTGTGTCCGGTTCATGCCATGGGTGCACAGAGGTGCATAAGGCACCAGCCTCTCTAATCTGGGTTTTTTCCCCCCCCTCTCCTCCCCTCTTTCAGGGTAACATTGTTCTAGCAGCCGAATCAGAGTTTGAGCAGGCTCAGTGGCTGGAGATGCTACAGGAGTCTGGAAAAGTGTAAGCTCCTTTCTATTCCTTATTTGCTTTGATCTGCTCTGTAGATGTATGAAGGATAAAGAGGAAGAAGCCTGACAAGAAGGGCTATGGGGAGTCAGACAAGCTCCTCAAAACCAGTGATAGCTTTATTTGCCTCCTGGACCCATCCTTACTCTAAAGGGGAGTGCTCTAAAGCTGATGCAAAGCTTCCCACCTTGTAGTGCAGTGTGTCTTTCTGCTCAGGCTGTCATCTGCCAAATGCTGATACACTGAATTCCATCTGCTACCCCTCTCTCATGCCTCAGATGTGGGAACCCTCCTGGTCCATTTTGTGTGGGAAGCAAGGTTTGCAGGTTTGATGGAAGTGTGCAGCGGTCCGTACAACAGAAGTGGAGGTCAGACAACCCCCCCATATGAATTTGGGGTAAAGTAAGAGCAGAACAGGCAACACATGAAGCTAGTGAGCAGCTGCCATGTGCCTCTATGTCCTGCTGTGAGCAGGGACCCCACCAGCACAGTTCTGATCAATAACAGTAATTGTGATGTGCTTCTGTGCCTGTGGGGTGTGATTCCTTCTGCCCAGATCTGCGGGTGCTCAGGCTGTACAGCAGCAGGATTTGGCCTCTCAAAACAGTTTAATTGTGAAATGTGGAGGCAGCCTAGATCCCAGGAGAGGCAGTGTTAGCAAAGCATTTCCAGCCCACCTGCAGGGGTGAGAGGGTTTGATTGCTGTCTGCTTTCAGTACTGCTTCACACTCTGCTGAGAATGCTGGACAGAGATTTGCATTGGCCTCCAGCTCTGCAATCCCCCAGCACCCAGGAGCCTGACAGTGCAATGAGCAGCGAGCAGCTGTCCTGCAAAGCCAGAGCAGGCTCCTTCTAAATCTCAGCAGATGCAGGAAGAGATAACACTAAAACAGGGATTTGACTTTCCCAAATGAGATATAGAAACTTCCTGGGTTTTAGGGCAGAGCCTACCATTCAGCTCTGAGGCTTAAAGCAATGAGCATTTTGCTCTGCCCTTCCTGGCTGCATTACACGTGTGGCCTCTTACCACTGTAGGGGCAGAAGCTGTTTAACTTGTAATCCCAGTGTGTCCATGTACATGCTAAGGCAATATCTCAGTTAATTTCAATGTTGTGAGGCCCAAAATGTAGATTTGTAATTAATGGGAACCTAATGTTACGGTGGATCAGCGCAAGCCAAGCTCTGTGCTTGGCTGTGGTGCTGGGGCGAGCTGTTCCCTCTGTGGCAGTGCATGAACTGCCACACAAAGCTGGCCATGATGATCCATGGGAGCAGGAGTCCTGTGGGACACAAGACCCAAGGCAGAGATTTGCCACCCCCTGGGCACAAGCAGCCTTGGCCACTGCAGAGGAGAAGTGACAGACACAGAGGTAGCCCTGGAGCAGTTTGGAGATTTTTATTGAATAGCCCAGGTCCACACTTGCCTTTACCAATGTTTAGATCAACTATTGCCAAGGGCAATAATTTGGGACCAAGTTCATCTTTCAGGTGTGTATGGGAGGGAAGGAGGAGGGCAGCAAACTCAGGATGGGTGTGCACAAGTAAGCCCTGCACTGCTGCATTTGCCACAGAGCCAGCCTTTTCTCTAGCCCATGCTTTAATATTCCAGCAGAAGCATTTAAAACAGAAGCTACAAGTGGCTGCTATCATACAGCAGACCACCTGCACCTAGTTGATAATCCACCTGAGACACCTTTCCTCTCCTCTGTGCTTCTGTTCCTGCATAAGAGAGTGGTGCAGCTCCAGTGCCAGTCTCATCAGGACTGATGGTAACCTACATGTGAGGAAAAGCACGGATTATGTGATTTAACAGGGTCAGGTCAGGAGCTAAACAGCAGTCAGAAAGGCCAGCATGGGCCAATAAATTGATCTGCAGTGAATAGAAAAGCTAAAATAATACAGATGAATTATTCTAAGCAATTATAATGTTTTTTTGTTCCTAGATGGAGATTGTACTGCCAGTGGCACCTGCTGTTTTCATAATTATTTAAAGTTGGCCAAAAAAAAACCCCAAAAACTCACAAACAAACAACTTTAAAAGAAAAAAAAAAGGCAAAAAAAAAAAAGCCCAACCCCAAAACTACCTCCATAGACTGAGATATGGACATAGGCAAAGGAGGAAAAACAAATCCAGGCTGGGAAGTATCATCTGTCCTTTGTTTCAATTTTGTCCTCTGCCTCTTTCCATCTGGGGTGGATCATGTGTATGTGCCTGTACAACTGGTTATTGCCTCCACCATCGGTATGCTTGGTGGTCCCTTCAGTTCTTCTCTCCTTTCCAAGCCTCCTGCCCTGATGGGAAATGGCTTATTCAACGCAGAGGGGGAACTGATGGCATCCCCACACTTCCAAAATGTTGTGGCTTAGACTTACCACACTTGCCAGATTGTGAAAGCTTTTTGGAAATGCACAAAGGCCTTACTCCCAGACTGCCAGGCTCCCTTCCCACCCAGAGAGGCTTTGCTGCTGCAAGTGGGAGAGAGGGGCACACATAACCTCTCTGTTCACAGCAACATTCCCTGAACTGGTAGAAAGTAAACTTGGTGGGCAATGCAGGAGAAAATAAGTAACATAGTACTTACATCCTGTGGACTCTGAAGTGCTGAGTGTCTCCAAAAATTGGCTGTGGGTGCTACCAAGAAAGCTTTCACTGCATTTTACCTAAAGAGATATTCCCAGTGCTGCAGAACTGGAACAGATAGTGATTGAGGTGTATGTGAAGGAGATTCTCTACAGCTTTGGGTTTGTTTTTTTTTTCAGGCAGGGGCTTTCTACTTGTCCCACGAGCCTTCCTGGCCCTGTGCTTTCCAATACTTTAAGCAATGTAGCTCTTTCTGATGAAAACTCACTTGGCAAGAAATACAAAATAGAAGAAGCTCTTGCTTGCCCCTCAGCTGAAGGTATAGCCTGGTACCTCCCTGTAGCTGTGGTTACACCAGCACCGGTTCCAGCAGATGTAGGAATAAAAGCTTAAATGCTACATGGTGATCCAAGTGCATTTTCAAAGTCACACAGCAGTGGGTGACTTTGCAGTAACCTTTGAGAATTGACATGGAAATGCCTTGTTAGTCTGGGGAAGGGAGGGAGCACTGAAAAGGTGACTCTGTAAACAGACACCTTAAAGGCTGCAGATGTTTTGAAACCCTCCATGTAATCATATGATAAACTCTGTCATTCCCCCCACTCCCATCTTGACCTGTTTGCTTCTCTGGGATCAGATTCATCCTGTAACAGGGAATGTTAGTGAGAAAACACATTCACACCCACATATTCTCACTCAAGATGAAGATGTCTACCTGTGGGCAAAACAGCACCTTTTAAATTAGTGTTCTAATTTTCTCTCTACTTTAGAAATAGACTCATTAGCTGACAAGAAACACATATATCTGCAAAGAGAGCCTGGGCTGCTGGAGCTGTGAGCTGCCTGGTCCCTGGGGTGGTGTGTGTTTAATTTATTCATCTGGCTTTTATAAGAGACAAAGTACAGCTTGCCTTGAAATTGGAGATTGCCAAATTAACAGTTTCCAAAAAGCTACAATTTCAAATTGTTCACAAAGAGGCCTGGTACAGGAAGCTTTACAGATATTTAATATTTATAAGATCCCTTAGGATTTAACAAAGATGGCAGAATTTCTGGGCAACAATTACTGTTCCTGTATGCACATCTATATAAATATATTGGAATCAATTTTAAGTATGTTTTAATGTTATGCATTTTATATGTGTAGATTTTTTTCCAATGAAACATGAATGGAGCAACAAACTCCACTTCTGGCTCTATTTTTGGGTTTTGTGTGTGCTTGTCCTTGATGTTTAATATCTGTATTAAAGCCTAGCCTGTCTGTGAACTCAATCATTAATTGGTATTTGCTCCAGAGGCCCTTTTTTAGCTTTGCTTCATAAAGTGTTTAAGAGACCTTGAGATCCTCTGGCCAGTGGCCCTACAATAACACAAGGTGCTCTTTGAATATACCCCTTGCCTTTAACATTCCCTACTTGCCAGCATCTTGTCTGGCTTTTATCTCTGTTTCTTCATTGTCAGGAAAAAGCACTTGACTCACAGTGTAGGGCCAGACACCAAGTCTGAGTGGCTTACAACTTTAGTAGAGGAGGGGTTGATTGCTTCCAGGATGGATGATGGATACCAGAAAGACCGAAGGTAAAAGGCCATAGGAAGGATTCAATAAGTGGTTGAAGTCTGAAGGGGAAGAGTGACTCTAACAACAAAATATTGGAAGGGCTGCAGAAGACAATGTTGCTGGCAGTGGGAAGTTTCTAGAGTTAAACCTAAAATCTGGTTCTGAAGTCTGTCATTTCAAGGGCTCCAGGTACAACCTGTTGCAGTTGAAGGCTGTGAATGTGCTGGATTGGTCTGGAGAGCCCTCAAAATTAAGTTCAGTATAAAAATCTCCAAAACACTGGGAAAAACATTTGAATAGCTGTGAGGTGTTGACATACAGCCCATGTATTGAAAAAAAAAAATAAAATTACTGAATGCCAGGGAAATTTCTCCAATTCCTTTGTGGAGAAAGCTTTTAGAGACTCATGGTCCCAGGTGATGAGTGTCTGCATGTCTGAATTCCTTGGAGTTTGCTAGGCTGAGTCCCCTGCCCTAGACCCTTAGCTCTCTCACATTGTCTGCTTTGTGTCTGCTCTCCCTAGGACCTGGAAGAATGCCCAGCTGGGAGAAGCCATGATCGAGAGCCTAGAAGCTCAAGGACTACAGCTGGCCAAGGAGAAACAGGAATATTTAGGTAGGAAACTCTTACTTTGAAAAGCAATAGAGGCCAAAATAGTAGTTTTGCTTCTCCTGGAGTTGTCACTGGTCAAGCCAAGCAGCTACAGGTTTTCTCTGGATGAAACTTTTGAGCAGTCAGCAGCTGAAATTCAGGTCTGAAGGGAATCAAAACATGGAAAAGTTAGGGTGGGATCTGGACATCTGTGTGGAGTGTAAAGGAGGAGCCTGCTTTGCCCACCATGCTGCAGTCCTCCATGGCTCATCCATACAAACATTTGCCACCCCTGAGAGGTTTGGATGTGCTGGTTTCAGCTGCTCACAGGCAAAAAGACAATACCTTTATCTCCCTCAATCAGACAGGACTGATACTTCTGAGGTTGGTCACAGCTTTCATACATGAGTTTTCCTCACCCAGCTGGTGCTTTTTTTGGTCTTAACTTGATCTTTGTGTTTGCTGACACTGTTCATTTTGGAAGTGGGAGCATTTACATGGGCTTGTTTGAGGTATCTAATGGCAGTGGCTAATTTGCCAGTGCTCTCTCTGTAGACAGTAGAGAAAGAACAGATGAACCTGAAGTAATCTAGGTATGAAGAAAGGGGATTATGTAATCCAATCCCCTATTTAGGAACCAGCCTCTGCATGGCCTGATACCTTGGATGCTCTGACTGCCTTGGCAGGTCCAGTTATCTCTTCCCCTTACTGCCTATAGGAAGAGCCAAGGGAGAGCAGCTCTTTTAACCCAGATTCCCTCTAAGTTACAGCATTCCCCAGGTCTCAGAGACCTTGTGACCTGAGGGCTGTGGATCACAAGTGTGGGCCCAGTGACTTGTCTGAGAGTTATCTGCTTTAAATAAGATAACAGAAATTTGGGTGCTTCAGGCTGGTGATGCTGTGAGCAGGGGCTCATGCTACCTACTCCTAATTGTCAAGCCACTGGAGGAATCTTAAGGAGCTTTTTGCATTTCTGCAACCACACTGGTCATGGCTGATCTCAGCACATGTAGCAGTGATCATAGCTCAAGTACCAAGGTGTGCTTACTCTGTCCATCTGAACACCATTCACCCATGTGAGGTGATGGATGGGCTCATACATGAGGCAAGCAGGGAGAAGTGGTTCCACACTTGACAAAGGAATAACAGGGGATGCTGAGAGGAGGACCTGAAAGGACAGAAATGGGAGGAAAATTAAAAACAGGAAAGTTCCATCAAAACATTATTTTGCTACCATCAGAGCAAATGAAAGGGCTTTAAAGACTAAAGAACTCTTTAGTATGATAAAAGAAAAGGTGGTGGAGAAATAGAGGAATACACATTCTGTGGCAAACAGGAGATATTTGGAATATAAAATATGTATCTCACCAGGTTCTTTGGTCCATGACAAGAACATTCAGAGCTGGTCAGTTGTCACAGTTGGCTACTTTCTTATGACTAACTATTTCTATATAAGTGCTAAGGCTTCTGCCTCATTAGCCTTACCTTCAATGATCTGTGTCCATCCCGTAGTCAAGCTTTGAGGTCAGGCACTGTTCCCGGAAGCAGGTCAAGGTTCTCTGGAGGAACACTGCTCTGAGGAATTTCTCAAATCCACACTGAGTTATCTTCCACCCAGCTGGGATCCGGGTTTCACTATCAGACATGGACATTACAGAAGCCGATCAGGTCCAGGGCTTGGGCCCTCCAGGAGGGGCAGCAGAGGGAAGGTGGGAGAGCCTCTGTAATTACAGTGCATCTGTGCTGGGCTCTGGCCAGGAGGAAGAGGGAGAGAGTGGGAAAGAAAGGCAGCAGTGGTGCTCAGCAGAGCTTTGGTAATGTAACACTATTTCTCTGGCACCAGGAGCCCTGCTCTGGGCAGGAGGTAGGGGTCTGCATTCCTCCTAGAAGTAGTCATGTTGCCAGCAGCAGTAACCTTGTCAAGTCCTCAGTACAAGGGAAACCAGTAGCACCTCACTCACCTCTCAAGAGGAAGACAGAAGTGCTCCAGTCAATCTGCCCCTGCTCCCGTGGCAGCCAGGTGGCAGAGCTGAGAGCTGAACTCGAGGCATGACCACGAGAAGTGTTTCTGTCTGGGCTCCTGTAAGCTGGCTCAGAGCTGCCCGAGGCAGAGCCTCTGAGCTTGGAGCTGGCTCAGCAGAGGTGCTGCAGGGTGAGGACCAGAGCACAGCCTCTGCTGGGCGGGTGTGTCTTCAGGGGACAAGAGCAAATGACATTGAGGGGAACTACTCTGTGCAGCAGAAGTTTTGTGGCTAAGTTAGGGATTGATTTCTGGGCTCGGCTGGGACATCCCAAGGTGACAACAGGGAGTTGGCAGTGCTGTCCAGAGAGCCAAGGACAGGATGATGTGCTAGGCAAGTGAGGATGGGGCACTGAGCTGCAGAGAAACTGACTGCTGCTACATGTTGTGTGACTCTCTGCGCTCACTTGGCCATTCTGTGCCTTGTTCCTTATCTGTGAAGCAGAGATAAGAATATTTTCCTGCCTCAGCTGGAGGATGGTGAAGGATGGTTCATCAATGCTCTTTAAGAACATTGAGAGGAAAGCTTAGATTGAGTACAAAGCAAGATGCTTGTTTAGTTGATTAAGTTATTTGGCAGGAGGGAAGTTATAGAAAATCCCATTAGTGCCATCTCAGCCTTTGGACCCTCCCAGACAGATACACACAAAGGAATAGGGTATGATGCATTTTCAAGCTTCAAAAAGTCCGTGATTCTTGTTTGTAAATATCCCGAGGATATAAAATGCTTTTCTCTGTGCTTGGACTTTTTTTGTGTGCTTGCAGATAAACTAATGGAAGAAACAGAGGAGCTATGTCTGCAGAGGGAACAAAAAGAGGTGAGTTCATCACAAGCCAGTTTCCTTCAGCTGCCATGTGGCAGGGCTGGGAGGCCGGGACTTGTTGAAGGCATGTCAGTGTTCAGGGAGAGAGGCTTGTGGAGGCACAAGAGTCTCCAGCCAATCTCTGGGTCCTGTGGAAGAAGAGAGGAATAAGACCTGTGCCATGAGATGGGTCATGGAGGTGTATCCCTGCTCCCTTTCCCTGTTACTTTCCATGCAGCGGGTTTATCTTTATGACTCCAGGGAGGAAGATCAAATGAAACTCATACTCACTGGATTGAATTACACAAGTGCTATTTGGAAGAAAGTCCGTCCAGCATTCCCAGGGAGTTTTGGACCTTCTGTATGTGTGTGGCAGAGCCGACCTCTGCAGGGAGCATGTCTGAGATTTCCAGGTGACAGTAACCTGGCTGGGACTTCTAGATGTCTGAAAATCCTCAGGCAACCTCAAATCCTTCTAATTTGAGGATTAGAGGTTGCCTGAGGATTTTGGCAAAAATTTTGTGTTTTTGGCAAAGAAAAGTGTGGTGGAGTCAGGCACCCTGTAGCTCTACACAGCTTGGGTAAAACACCATGTTAAAAGTCCCAGGTGCTGTTTGCAGGGAAGCCTCTCCTAACTCTGTGTTGGCAGAGTGCATCCCTGTCTTCTCTTTTGGAGCAGGAACTGGAGCGTCTGAACCAGATCCTGGAAGCAGAGAAGCAGCGCTTTGAGGAGGTGGTGCGGGAGCTGCGGCTGGAGCAGGAGGAGATCCGACGGTACGGCCGCGGGGCAGGGAAGGACACAACTCCCACACTGGGCAAAAGTGCTGCTGTGGTGGTGAATCCAAACAGTCTGGAAATCCACCTGGTTTGTGCATTGACCAAAACAGGAGTGGTTGTGGGCTCTTTACCTGCATTTGCTATTGCTTGTGGCCAATAGAGCACAGCTTAGCTTCATTTTGCATTCGGGCCTCCAGCAATTTAATTTCAAAGTGCTGGGATACAAGCCACCCCCAGTTTAGTTGGGGTAGCATGGGAGAGGTGCAAGAGAAGATTTCAGAGAGGCAATTAGTTCAGCTGACTGAGCAGCTGTGTGGGATCCAGACACTGGATTTGGTTTGCCACCATCAGCTGAATGACAATGGATGCATGATGATGTTGCCTCACCAAGATTAGTTTTGTCATTTTTGAAGTTAACTATGAAAAATATTAGCAGCAAATGTACTTAGAAATAGAAGGATTCAAGTGCTTTTCCCCAAGTGTTGAAAGGACATTTTTTACTATCATTCTCTTTTTTTTCTTTTTTCCTCCCTAAGTAACATCTCAGAAAAGCCAGTGTGATTTTGCGAACCATTTTTGTTCTCACAGGCTCTGCTTCGATGTGGTTGCCATGTCTGAGCTCTTTCAGTTGCAACCATGGCTCTGCCCTTGCTGGAGAAGCACAGTAACTCTTGGGTTGGGTTTGATGATCAGGAGGCACAGTGAAGTTCCTGGATACCTGTAGTGTGTCCAAGGCAGGATGTGATGTTTCCTAGCAAACTCCTGGCTCTCCAGGACTGGCTATACCAACCGATGGTTGCAGGTCCTGCACCAGGAGAGGCACAGCCTGGGCGCAGCCTGCGGGGCTGTTATTGCAATAGCTGTCACCCTTTTTGCTTCTTTAGGGAGCTGGAGCTCACAGCCCGCTCCCTCAAAGGAGTGGAGGAAGAGAAGAAAGAGTTGAGAAGCCTGACAGAATCCTTACAGAACACCCTGGAGGTGAGTGACTGCTCCTGCCCTGAGTGACAGCATTTGGGCCTGAAAACACTGCTGTCTTATGGCATGAATCCAATATCTGCTAATGCTAGGGTTGAAGTGCTGTGCAGATGAACAGGTTCATTTGGTAGCTGATATGAACACCAAAATCCCCTGCAGAAAAGGATGAGAAATGGCACAGTGCACAACTGAACCAAGACTTTCTCAGCAGTACCAGCTGATATGGTGATGGGACAATGACCAGAACATGTTGTAGTTTAGGAGGCTTAGGTGGAACAGTCGGGAGAGAATTTTCCCCAGATGGGCAGGCAGGCAGTTAGAGAGGCTGAGTAACCTTCATCCTGGACTATTGTCAGACTATAAACAGCCACAGCTGACCATATCCTGCTGTGCTGCCAGACTGCCTCTGAACAGCAAGCTGGGCAGGAGCCTACTGGAAGGTCCCTTCCAGCCAGCATGACTCTAAGTCTGATGAGCTTTTTCTTTCTAACTGCATCTCTCTACCTTCTGGTGGAATTTGAAGCAGCAGAGGGGCATTCTTGTTCACAGAAGGGAGCATGATTCCCAAGGAAATTGTGTACCTGGGAATGTACATGGGAATCTAGGAAACAGAGTCTTGATGTATTAAAATCTTTCCTTACTGGTGGATTTGTGGAAAGTATCTTTTCTAAAAGTATATTTTTTGTGAAATTTCCACACAGTTGGCATTCTGAAGCTGCAAGGTCATCTTTAATGTTTGTGTCAGAGCCTGCAAGTTTGTCCAAAAATCTGTTCCTTTGAGCTCTTCTCCTTGCCTGCAGTTATGACAGAAAGAACTGGAAAGCTATGGAAGTACCATTCTTGCCCTAACTGCACATTGAATACTTCCAAGGCAAACCATGTGATGTGTCCCATTGCCCACATTTAGAAGTACCACAGAGGGGGTGCCTCCAGTTCCCACTAAGGAGCAAGCAGAGCAGGGATGGCAAGGAAGCTGCCTGCATCTGTGATGCACCAGGGAAGCGTGAGGTTCCAGTCCCTGAACTGTGTCCTCACTAGCATATCACATCAAAGGGGCCTGCTGGTTCACCCCTTTGTAGCAAAGGCTGTCTTGAAGGCTTGCTCCCCATGAAGCAGGTATGAAATGAAACCCAAATTCTGTTATTCCTGTGTTTACCTGAATGAGGCATGTGGATGCAAGGATGGAGGCACTCAGTAAGGAAGAACCAGGTAGAAGCAGGAGCAGAAACATTAGACTTGGCTGATACTCACAATCTCTTGTCCTTCTTCAAGGAGCTCTCCTTGGAAAAACAACAAATGCTGGAGATGCTGGAAGAAAATGAGAGCCAGGTCCCACCTCCAACCAGCCCCAGCAAGGAGCAAAGCCCCATCTGGGGACTGCACTGCAGCCTGCGACAGATTGAAGAGAAGATGCAGCAACTTCTGCAGGAGAAACTCCTGGCAGAGAAAAGGTGAAGTGGGGAAAGAGGACACTTCTGCTCAGGCTTAGTGGTGCTGAAGGATGTGACTGTCTGCTGACTTGCTTTATGGTTGCCAGCACCAGACAAGTCTAGAAGCTTGTCTGGTTCCAATGGCAGGAGTCCAGGTTACAAATCCTTCAAAGGAGACAGAGTGAGGCAGGGCAGCTGAACTTGCACCCAGTTGGGCCTGCTTCTTTCAAACCAGGACTTGTGCATGTAAAGGTGTTCATGGCCTGTCCATAAGGAGTGTTTGGTACTCCTGGGCCTCATCTGGGAGTTGAGAGTGTTTCATTCAAGAACTGTCCAGCTGGCTCTCTCCAGTTTTGCCTGTGCTATTGGAATGGAGCACACAGTGCTTCTGTTAGCATCTCTTTGCTCTGGGCAGTCAGGTAGTTGAGCATGCCCCATCATGACACTGAGCTCCTTTCCTGCCTGTGAGTTGTGGTGGGGTGGGAATGGTCATCTTTGTTTGCTGTGCCGTGCACCAGGATGAAGGAGAATGAGGAGCGGTCTCGAGCACTGGAGGAGGAGCGCGAGTTTTACTCTTCCCAGTCGCAAGCGCTGCAGAACTCGCTCTCGGAGCTGACTGCAGAGAAACAGCAGGCAGAGAGAGACCTCAAGGTATCCCCTGCATACGTCACATATTGCTGTCCCTGGGCTCAGAGTGCTTCCATTTCCTCTTTCAACTCATTCCCTATCAAGCCAAACTTGGTTTTATTTAGTTTTCACATTTTGGTCATAAATCTTCATTAGCTGTGCTTCATATTGCCAGCTGTATCCTGGCCTGCATCCAAAGCAGATTAGCAGGCAGGGCAAGGGAAATGATTCTGTCCCTCTGTTCCACTCTGCTGAGACCCCACCTGCAGTGCTGCATCCAGCTCTGGAAGGACATTGACCTGTTGGAGTGAGCCCAGAGGAGCACCACCAAGGTGCTTGGAGGGCTGGAGCACCTCTCCTCTGGAGACAGGTTGAGAGAGTTGGGGCTGTTTGGCCTAGGGAAGAGAAGGCTCTGAGACAGAAACCTTATAGGAATTTTTACAATGTAATGATAGGACAGGTGAGATTGGCTTCAAACTGAAAGAGGAGAGGTTTAGATTAGGTATTAGAAAGAAATTCTTTATTGTGAGGGTGGTGAGGCATTGAAACAAGTTGCTCAGAGAAGTTGTGGGTATTCCATCCTGGAAGTGTTCAGGACTGGGTTGGATGGAGCTCTGAGAAACCTGGTCTAGTGAAAATTATCCCTCCCCGTGGCCAAAGAGTTGGAATGAGATGATCTTTAAGGTCTCTTCCTACCCAAGGCACTATGATATCATGGTAACACATGAAATTGCCATCTTATATCTATGTAGTACTACTGTTTATTTTTGTATCCTGAAGCCTGATTAATCCATTCAGTACAAGTCTTTTAATATGTTACTGTGAAAGCATAACCTATAGATGGAGGGAAGGAAAAAAAGTAAAAGAGGACAGTATACACAATCAAGAATAAAGATGATTTCAAATAAATGCTAATATGGTTGTTGCAGAACCGAGCAGACATTTTCTCTCCTCACCTGTGCTCAGAAAAACAAACCTTAAGACTTTTAAATCTTCAGTAACCTCTGCAAGAACTTGGCTTCAAAAGCAGAGGAATTCAGCTGAGGGACCAGTCCTACTTTGTAACAGACAGTACATTAATCTATGCCAAGGTAACTGGACAAATATGGTATTTTATTTAAATCTAAATAATGTAAAGGTTATGTTAATAATTAGCTGTTTGACACTCAAACTCCTTGTACAATATTTTGTCCAAAAACACCCCCTGAGTTATTTTTTTCCTGCACCTCCAATATTTTCTTATCTTTTAACCTTCTATCTACTTGGCCAGACTAAATCTAAGTTGACCTAAGCTGTGTAGTCTCTCATTTGCTAAACTAGTACAGTATTTCTAACTCCTCTTGTGTTTTGTTTCTGAAACTAAGCAGTGTACATCCCTTTGTGGGAATTGACTGCCTTTATCTCAAGTCTGTCTTAGCTGGATTGATGTCCTTCTGTTCCTGCTAAGCTGCAAGTACTTGCATTAGCACAAATTCATGTGTTGAAATACCATCTCTGGTTCCATATGGTTTATGCAATGGGAGGAAAACTGTGAAAAATTAAGTCAGAGTAAAGTAAAATTACTGTAATAGTCTGGACTTCAGATTCTGTCTGAAGACATGAGAAATGCCTTGCAATACTTCTAAGGATTTCCATCACTGTTGTCTTTTCATTTTCATCCATGGCAAGTTCCTCACAGACCTTGTGTGTTACCCGGATGTTTACTGAGAAACAAGCTGTTTTCCAGCAATTCTTATTTTCTTCCTCAGGCTGAGGTGAAGGTACGCATGGATCTGGAGAAGAGACTGAGAGAGGCTGAGGACGCCTTGCAGAGCTTGGAGCAAGGCTTAAATTCCCTGAATTGCAACAAGGAGAAAGAGAAGAAGATGAAAGCAGATGTCAGTAACTTGAGAAGTAAGTTAGTCATCCATGTTCTCTACTGATGAGCAAACTCACTAGAGGAAATATTTCTACCTGTCTTCCCAGACACACAAAGAAGATTCCAAATTAGCAAAGCTGCAGATAAATGTGGTCTCCCAACTTCTTGTACCTCCACCACATCTCCCCTTTGAGGAGCCATAATGTGCTATGCAGGTAGTTGGTGTTTTGCCTTCAGAGAAGGTTGAAATTATTCCAGCCCCTCAAAGGAGCATTAAATTATTCCAGCCTTCTCTGCTGGGTGGAAGGCAAACCTAGAGATGAGGAAGTCATCTTGACTTTCCAAAATGTCAAACAGGGAAGCCATGGCAGAGCTATAAAAACTGACTACTGACTAGGTCTGAGTTACAAGGAGTCCTCTGATTCCCCTCAAGGCTTTATTTCTCAGCCTCGGCTAAAAGAATATCACCAGTTTAAGGAGGCCTGTGGTTGCTGTAGCAACATGCTGGTGGATGACCCAGCAGGTGAGGTTTGGATCTTTACTCAGAGCTGAATCACAGCATCAGCTCAGCACTACAGAGCATGGGTCAGGTGCAGGCTGATGCTTCTCACAAGTTATCCCTGTTACTTTGCCTTTTTCTGGTTTGTTTGGGCTGGGTCTTTTTGGGTTCTCTGGGGGAGCATTACCCTGGCATTTGGCTTGAGTCAGGCTTGGGAACTGACATAAGCAGCTTCAATTGAGTCAACTCTTGCTTGTTTTTCATGCCCTGCAAATTATATTGCAGGGAGAAGGGTTTATTAAGGTGCTAGGTCTGTACAATTAAGGCTTCATTTCAGTGAAGGGTGGATGTAATGGACCAATATAGAAAAGTCAAAAAGTCCTGTGGTAGTCTGAGCACTGTTAGGTAAATAGGGAAAAATAAATGTATAAATAGTTTTATATCTATTAATATACTTATAATTTATATATATTTACATTTTAAAAGTATTATTCAGTAGTTTCTACATAAGATTTCTAAATGGATAAAAACAGTCATGATTCTGAACTTCATCCCACTGGCTCAGGGCCATGGTAAGAAAACAGAGTGAAAGTGGATGTGTTGAGCTCAGCATTCAAGTGGAGCTTCACAGGGCATACATAAGTAACTGGTACTGAATGTCTCCTGATATTTCCAACCTTAGAATTTGGGAGATGTTTTTTTCAAAAGAGTAAAAATGTACTGATGAACAGAGCACTTGAGAAAATAAGGGACCAGCAATGTTTCCCATAAGGTTAGTCCCAGCACAGATTGCCTCAGTCCTTCTGAGTGGTTCCTGCAGCTCTGCACACCCTTTATAGAAGAGTTTGGGCACATTAGCACATGATGCTTTTGAACAGCAATGGACCAGCAACAGGCAGGAGGGCAGCAAGACTGGAATGGCAAAATAGACACTGGTCAGACCATAAGAGGGGAAATGGGGCAGGAAAAGCAGTTTGTGTGGCAGATCAGGGCAGAATAACATCAGAGTTTGGGCATAGGGCTTTTCTTGGAGCCCATAATATATGTAACTATGCGCTAGTATTTGCTATGCTACTAAGAAATCCCTTACCATGTGTGCCCGTGCTGGTGTTGCCAACACTTGCCAACACTTTCCTTTTCCAGTTAGACCTGACTGGTTTTAGAAGTCCTTCAAAGAAAGTATAATGAGCAAGGCTTCAGAGTTGAGAACTTTTATCACAGGATCAAAGGCTTTTGGCAGTTGAGTCATGAGCAGTTGTAAGAATTACTGATATGGAATGGATGACTCTAGTTATTTCTAAATTTGAGTATGCATTTGTTAGGAACTGGAGGGTTTTGTCACTTTGAAAATGAGCATTTGCAAATGTTCTTCCTGATGATATTCTGGAGCTTTATGGATTGTTGTTCATGAAGGTCATCATTACCTGGCTCAGCCCATCAAAGAGTGCAGTCCCTTGTGACTGGTTCATTGCTTGGGGTGTCTGTCCCATCACTGAAACAGTGGTGTTCTCTTCCCAGAGTTCTTTGAAGAGTGCATCCGCAATGCTGAGCTGGAGGCCAAGATGCCCGTGATCATGAAGAACTCTGTGTACATCCACAAGGCTGCCACTCGCCGCATAAAGAGCTGCCGCTTCCGCTGCCGGAGAACCAGCGCCTCCTGGAATGACAGTAGGTGTCGGGCAGCCTTCTCCTTCATACCCTGCAGGAGCAGATATGTGCCCAGGGGACTGGCAGAGCAGTAAAGTCTGCAAATGTTGTTTCTATTTCATGTTTCTTAGCAGCAGAATGGAGCCACAGTGCTACTTGGAGCTTCCTTTCCCAGAGAGCAGGCACTGAGCCTGTGTATTTGTTGCCCATTTCTTTATATATGCTGAAGGCTAAACTTCTGTGATGGTCTTGGGTTCCTAAAAAAACTTACTTAAATATTACTTCATCAGAATGCCTAATCACAGACTGAGTTAGGCTCAGCCATGCTGGTCACATGGCTCATGAACTCTAGTGAAGCTTTATCTTCAGTTTGGGTCCCTGGTGGAGAGCACTTACATTTCTGTGTTGTTGTTGTTTCAGTGAAGCAGTCACAGTCCTTCATCTTCTCACCTGCAGAAGCTGAAAACATTGAAGAGCTGAAAGAAGCAGCCAAAAGACTGAGCCGGGACCAGCGCTTTAGGAAAACTATTTATCAAATCATGAGGTCACAAAAGGATTCTGCTTCAGGGGACAAAAAGTGACTCTTCCTGGGAGGCGGCTTCTGAGATCAACCTGCCATTCAGCTCTGCAAAAGTTACAGCCTTGGGCACTAGGCTCAGAAGGGAGATCTGGCATTTGGTGGGCAAGGTGGGGGAGAGTTGTGTGTAGGCAATCCCTTCAGTTATTGGCTTTGCTTTAGTTTGAGTGCTCCCTGCAGCCTGGCAGACCTTCTCTGCTGATCTCTCCAGACCTGTTTGCTTCAGCTGCTTACACTAAACCATGTTTGGCCAAGATGCCACAGTCGGTGTTCAAGTGAACCAGAGACCGTAGCTTAGGAAGTGCCTCTCCTTTCCTTTCCTTCCCTGTCTAGTCTGTCTGCCAAACACAAGTGCTTCTGAGGAAACCTTTAGCAGCCTATGTTCCAGCTAGTGTAATCTCCTCAGCTGAACACAGCTCGCCCTGTTCTACCTGATCCCCTCTAGGAGCTGGCTCACTGCACACCCTCAGTAAATCAGTACTTCGGTGGGGCACATTTCCTGAAGACTGCAGCAGTCCCAGTCTCCCAAGCACAGGAAAAAGTATCAAACACAGGGCCAAACTTTTTGTCTTGATGCTACATCATTTCAAGCAAACAGCAACAACACAAGGTGAAGACAACAGGAGGATGCTGTGGATTTGGGTCCAAGGAGGATCATGTACAGAGGAGAGCTTATAGGTAACTCAATGGCATCAATGCAAGCTGGAAGGGAGGGTTCTGTTGTGTTTTTGGTGGGCAGAACATTCCAGGGCCAGCTTTGCACATTTTTTTTTTGCACTGAGACGTCTAGCTGTGTCAGAACTAGGGAATGTATTAGCTCTTGGCTATCTATTCCTCAGTGTGATGAAGCCTTTGACTCAGTTTTGATGGCTTCCTCAACACCTCTGTGAGGCGAGTTGGAGGGCAGGAGGGTGAGGACTGTCCAGCAACAAAACCCACTGCAGTTCAGGCAAGCTGTAAGGGCTGTGGAAGAGGAGCCCAGGAGAGGAGTCACTTTGTTGTGGAGCACCTTGCAGCCTCCCCCACCTATTTTAAGCAAGCAGTTGGCTAATAATTACCCATGCTGTAGAAGCAGCACTGCCTGGTGCTTACAGACCACAGGATAAGCGTGCTCAGAGTGACACCTTGCTTTCTCCTGCATATTAATTGGGAAATTAAGAAATAGACAATACAAAGGTGAATAAAGTAAGCAGCATAAGTACAGTTAGGGGTTAGGGGGTGGTAAATACAGATTTACTTTGCCTTTCATGGCATCAGGACCCCTGGGTATTATATATATATCCAGTGACATGCAGGTAGTTGCTTGTTACTGTCCCATTCGACTGTGACAGTGTCCACTCACAGCCTTTGGCTTCTGGCCACCTACATAATTCCCTATCAATTTAGTGTTGTTCCTAGGGAGAAGTCAAGGATGAGGCTGGGAAGCAAGCTTGGCTTACCAGCCAGAGGAGAGTGGTTAATGCTGGGTGGAGGAACATCTTGTGACAGTGTGATGCTCCTGGATGGAATCACTCTAGTGTGACCAGAGGAAAAGCTTTGAAAGCACAGCCTGTACTTCCCATTTCAATCAGTTACTGACTAGTATCCTTCTGCCAGGCATTGGGAGGTTTCATCCAATCAGAGGATCCAGCTCTGAAGGAGGATGTTTTTGTGATAATAGGTGATACAGTAGGAGATTATTTCCATCCTTCCTTAGCATACCTGATCCTTCTGTGGTTTATCTACTTGTGTTTATATGCTAGAAAGCCACAAATGAATTCTTGCTCCTACAAGGCTGAAGGGCTGTGATAAAGAAGCAATACAGAAATGGGTTTTTTTCCTTTATGCTGCTCCCAAATAATCTCTGGCTATTTTCCAGTTACAAGGTCTATATTAGGTGATGCTGGAAGGAACAGAATGAAGGATAGCTAGGGAATGCATCTGTAATTCAGGCAGTTAGAAAAATCACCCTGTGGCCTGTGAATACAGCATTTTTGTTCTATTACCATCAAAGCCACAATCTCTGACTCTTCAGAAGTATTGTATGCAGGAGGTAGTTACATCAGGTCTTCCTTTACTGTGCATATTGACAGCAATAAGAAAATAAAAGTTATGTTGACACTAGAATGAATTCTTGTGTGTTCTTGATACACTGTCACCAAAATGATGTTAAATTGTCTCTGCAGGAGTTCAAACAAATCATTGTGACACTCTCATTTACTGCCAGTGCAGTTCCTCTCTTTCCCTGAGTTGCTGTGTTACGTGCTTAACACCACCTCTCAGAAGGATTGGCTGTATGTAAAAAAGGCTATATGTAAAAAGCTTTCACCCTTGCTACCCACTTTAAAATTGTCTATAAACTTAAAGCAGACTGTATCACATCTGAAGTAGAAAGCTCCCACTTGCTTACCTGAAGTCAGTGAACAACTCTGTGTGTAACCAGCAAGATGTGCCCTGAGTCACCTGTGAGGAGGTGCTTTCCATCAGTCATTCCCTGCTGCACAGGAATCTACTACCCTGTAATCTCCCTGGCAGAGCCAGCACGGAGCTGCCTCTGTGCACCACAGCATCTAAATTAAGTGACTGTCTCCTCTCAAAGGACACAGAAATTACTGATTTCAATGTTCTCTGTGTGTTTTTAACACAATGCAGTAACAGGAAGATGGCTTAGGAAGCTCACCTCTGTTCAAACAACCTTTGCCAGTAATCCTAGGTTGCTTTCTTCTGCTGGGAAAACTGGGAAGGGGGTAATAACTTCCTCCATTGAGAAGAGTTCTCTAAATTGTTCTCTTGTGTCTGAGGATAGAAGAAAATACAGGATGGTTTGCACCTTTAAGATTTCACTTCAGGAGTTGCAGAACACCTAGACTGGCTCTGAAAAGCCTGTGGCCATTCTTCACCACCTCCACCTTCTGTGTAACACCTGGGAACTTCTTTTTTCTCTGAAGATTCTCCCTGTTGTTCCTGTCAGAGACACTGCCAAATGTGAAGCCTGCTGATTTCCTCTGCATTGTCTTGGCTGGAAGGATGGATCCTGTTAAAGGTTCAATAAACTGATTTAAGGGTTAACTTCATCCTCCTTGTAAGATGCACAGGCTGTTTTAGTCCCTAGTGAAGAAGAGTGGTTCTTGCTGGAGTGCCCACCACCCCAAGGCTTTGCTCTTGCATGGAAGTTAATGTCAGAGAAAGAAAGGCAGCCCTAGCCCTGTTGCCCCCAGTGTGTGCTGCTTCTAAAGCAGAGAAAGTGGATAAGAAATGGAAATTGCCCTTGGGGTCAGAAGTGGATAATGAACGATAAATGGTTGCTGGTGCTTGTTGCGCATTGCTGTGTGTGGCACACAAGTGACGTAAGCTGGTAGCGGTTTTTAGTGACAAAGTATGGCCTTTTTTTAGCTCGAGATAGTAGGCAGGCTTTCTGCTTAGGACTTAGTGTAATGTTAGTGTATCTCTATGGAAATAAGATGATAGATTTCCATCGGAATAGTCTGTTTTGAATCTTTTCAATGCAGTCACTTTTTCTGGTTGTTAGAGGGACAGAGGCTGGCTCATGTTGTATCCAGTAAGAAGAGATTTTCTCCCAGGAAAGTGGCCCATGTTCTGAAAGTCTTGCCCAAGGCAGGGGCTTGCCTGGACTCTCAGTGCTCCTTGGTGCTGGTGTGCCTGTGAAGGATGCTTCTGCCATCTTCTTCCTCATGCACAAGGACAACTCCGCAGTTTTTTGCCCAGTCTGTGTACAGTTTTTTACCCACCTAGTCTGAGCATGGATTTGAATGGGCGAAATGACCAAGTAAGAGGAACTGCTGTAGTGAGTCACCTGAGAGCTGGGTCTGAGGTGGCCTGTTGGGGTGACAGTCACCGTGAGTTCAGCCACTCTGTGCGGTTTGTTGAACAAACCAGTGCAGTGCGTTTCTGTGTACTGAGATAACATCCCCTTTTCTATATTAAGTAACACTTACTTCTTACTGCAGGCTTATCTCCGCAGCCAGAATGCAGAAAGATCCAACTGAGTACTCAGGTCTGTGAGTCCTTCCTGCTCTTTGCAGGATACAGTGTAGTGCCTGAACCAACATGCAGATTTTGGGGTTTTTTCAGTATTGGCAGATCTGGCACTTCAAAGGAAGAAAAATTATAAAGGGCATTTTGTGGGGTTAACAAAGGCACCTTTTGCTAACTCAGAGGTGTTGCAATAAATAACTCAGCAGGGTCATGTGCTCTTATTTTGCTGTATCCTGAAAAGTGCAAACCTTGCATTGCTTAAATTACTAAGTGAACTCTGCTTACCCTTGAGTTCTTCTTGACTGCACCCCTGCCTCAGACCTCTCTGTGGAAACCACCCAAGAGTGGCGGGATATGTCCTCTCCTAGTGCTGCTCTTCTCGTTGGTTTCTTCATCATTAATTCTGGGGTGGGAGAGAGCTCCCTGTTCCTCCACACATCAGTGGCTGCCCACAGAAGGTACAGCCCCTGCCTCTCCAAAATGAGGAAAACAGGTTCTGTTTTTTGTTGTGGGGTTTTTAATCTAAGTTCTGCAAATAGGAATTAATATTTTTGACATCTCCATGTTAATAAGGGGGTTTGTTTGTGGTGGGTGTGAGCAATTTGACTCCCTGCAATGGAATTAGGCCCTGTTCAAAAGAGGCTCTGACTCTCAGCCTTGATAGAGTAAGGCTGGAGGCTTGTGCCAGTCACTGCTGAAAGCACAGCAGTGACCAGGGTGATAGCATGTTTGGCAGAACTCTGTTTTTGGGACAGCTCACAGGGCATTCAAGGTCCCTGGGTGGCAGAGATGGGCTGTGCTTTCAGGTACACTAATCTTAACAGCAATAAAAATGACATAGCAAGAAGATGAGAATGCTGTGGCTTTTGTAGCAAAGTAGAGGTGCAGGCTTTTAATGCAAAGATTGCTGGAGATTGATTGGATTGTAACTTGCTTGGGAGTAGCCACTGTTTTAATTTCTCCTTTCCTTTTCTGATTGTGCCAAAGGCACACCACATGCTTATTGCATTTAACGGGAGCTTGTTGGAGGCTCCAAGAGGAAGGAGAGTGAAAGGTAGGAGTGCAGGAGGTGTGACTTAAAGCTGGAGCACTGCTGACAGTTGACAGTTGCTGTGCTTCAAAAACAAAGTGTGTGCTTTGGCAAACGCAT